CGGCAGCATCAAAACCCCCAGACCATAGAAAAATATCGTCGTTCAATTTAGGTGCGTGTCTCCAGTGGTACCGCCATTTTATAATCTCTTGCGCACCTATCCTCTAAATAATTTGCGAAAACTTGAAGAAGTGGAAGCAAACTATACCGACGCAATCGCAGCAATCAACGACACGGAACCGCGAGTAACGTTCTCAAACACATTAAAAGGATGTCACAAGTGCGATGAGTTTGGGGAACAGCACTTAAAGCACTTATAATGAACACTAAAAAGACACAGTAGTAGTGCGAGTGAAATTTGAAATGCGCTTAATGAATACAAAGGTAGATAGTACACTTTTATGCAGGACACCTGAATTTATATTTATGATCTATTTTGGAATGCTTGGATGATAGAGGATTTTGGTTCACTCAGCGTTTAGCTGCCAAATGTGACCGACACCAGCTCCGTCCAAAATCGATGTAAGACGGAGCTGGTGTTGGTCACATTTGGCAGCAATTTGCAAAGATAGAGAAGGCCACGAACATTGTTCATCATTGACTTTGCCAAGGAGTTAAATTGAGTTGTTCTTCAATGAGCTCCAGCTCTCTCTTCTCATGAAGAAATGATTAAGAGTGGATCGTGATATTTTTTTAAAGCCCACCATGCTTATAACTTGCTTGCCCACCATGCTTGTATAAGAGTGGTAGCTGGTGGTGGCTGCTAAACGCTGAGTGAACCAAAATTCTCTATCATCCAAGCATTCCAAAATAGATCATAAATATAAATTCAGGTGTCCTACATAAAAGTGTACTATCTACCTTTGTATTCATTAAGCGTATTTCAAATTTCACTCGCACTATTACTGTGTTTTTTAGTGTTCATTATAAGTGACTCTTGGGTGATCTTAGCTTGCAGATCACGCATATTCTGAAGCTGGTCTTCCTGTAAACTGCTACCTCGAGATTTTCCGAAACTGCTCACTTCAAAAGATACAAACCGGCGTTGTTCGATCATTTCAACGGACACATTTTAGGATCTACCAAGTCTGGCATATTCTGATTCATTAGAGGATCAGTTGTGCGAGACCTAAGAGATGCGGCACCGTGTTTCCGTTAGACGAGACAGTTTCCAGAGAATACATTGTTCTTCGTACTGCCAGAAATGTGGTCATGGAATGAGTCTTATTTACGCCGCCGTGATTATGCAGCTTGAGGAACATTTCAGGAAAATGTTTACAGAAACACTATCTTTCAGAACCTGTGGGATCACCCAAAAGTGGAGCGCAATATCTCAGCAATTTTTCGACAGGGATAGGGACCAGTGCCGGTCAAATTCACCGGCTGTTGTTAAAGGCAGCAAAGACCCTATTGAAGGCTTTTCCAGGGACTTTAAGAGTTGATGCCTTCAAATCCATGACACATCATCGGATTCTAGCTCTCTCAGAGAATAACTGATTGAAGTGCCTTACTTTTTTCCTGCTCCACCCGTATTTCTCATTTTAAAAAAAGGTCCATGTTTGTACACCCAAAGAGCTTCACAACATCGTAAATTATTCGCAGTTTTACTCTGCTGATCAATAATTACAAATTGGCCTTGTGGCAACCCTGCTCCCTTCTAAAATTTCCTTCTCTCATCCAAAACGTCCTTGATTGATGATTGATGACAGCTCCCTTATGCACCCATTATAGTCCATCTGCATAAGCTAGAGCCTCATGCCGAAGCACTGGGGCTCAAATACTCTATTCTAGGAATATCGTGATGATGATCTGCATACCCTATGTAATGAACTTTGAATGCCAATTGAATTACGTTGACTCACCCTACTCGTTGGAAATTCGTTATCTGCGAGACGAGTGTTCCCCTTCACTAGAAGTATTCGCCCAGTTAAAGTATCCGAAAGCCATACAGAATTGGAGATTGCTGTATTGACATGCATAATTTAATATAATAACTGCTGCGCACTTCGAAGCAAGCTCCCAACAACATTCTAGTTCCTTCATTTCACCCTCGCCAGCATACGTTCTTGTAGCTCATGTAGATTAGGAGGCTGTGGAACTTTCTGCCTGATTTAGAGCGAGAAATCAGTGGTTCTCAACCTCTTTTGACTGACGGCGCATCGCCATTATAAAAACTCGTCGTTTGCGGCACTATGGTTGAAAAACAGGGCTCTGGATATATTCACAAGGGCTTAGACCGATTGAAGTGAAGGCTCTGTACAGGTCATGGCAATAGGCTGATGCCATTATGCGTAAACCAGGCGCTGGTGCTGTGAGCAACATGGTGGGAGTATTTTCCTGCTAGAAGAGCACATCAGTGCACTGACAAAAAAACTCAACCGTAACTCCTGGAACATGCTCTGCCATGGCGGAATCGAGAAGGAGCCACACGGTAAACGAAAAAAGTAAGTAATTGAAAAATTGATACCATAGGAAAACCGTCTGCAATAAATTAGCAATACTTCTTGCAATAGAAAAGAAATAATATTGCACATGCCTGCCAATTATTTTCAAGGTGAGATAAGTATATTGCCCTCCAAACGTCTTGCAACCCTTTTTCGTGATCTGCGAAAATGGTTACATCCTCAGACAGCCTAATTTGTTACCTTTGCGAAGTGCCCACTCGTCATGATTTGTGCTTTAATTTCTCCAAAATTCGCCTTGAAATTCATCTAGTTCGGTTTTTCAGCGTGAAAAAATTAAAATCCGTCCCCATATCTATTGTAGCGGAGCGAGTAGAATGTTTTCTCTATGCACCTTAAGGAAAAGACTCCTGTCATTGTCTTCCAAAACTCTTATCACTTTTTTTTATACAAAAGATACAAAAGTCTCTGTATCTATTGTATCAGGTGATAAATATATAAATATTATAAATATATAATAAGCTAGAAGATAATAGGGTGTGCATTTGTGGTGATTTTGAGAATGACTTAAGCTGTGATTTCTTTCAATCAACAGCCTTTCAGTTATACTCTTTCATTTTCTTCTAGCTTATTTTGGCTCTAGTGGGATTACCGAAAAAGATCTTTCTACACTGAAGGTTTGAGCAGGACCATGCCCCTGATGAGGATCCTGCTATTCTTTCAGATCCCAAAGGCTCCTTTCCTTTCTTCTCTTTTAAAATTCCATTTTCTTACTTTTTGGAGCCGGTTGTCTTGATTAGCCAGCTTTGGAATCTCATTACTTTTCTCCTATATATTATCAGATAACTTATTCTCTCAGGGCACAAAGCGCCCACAAACATCAGGGTTTGTGTTATCATTTCCCCAAATTTTGCCTTTAAAGCAATCTGGCTCAGAAGAAATTCAGGCTTGCCAGCAATATGTCACGTGAATAACTGAAGGTAGGGAGGTTGGATGGACGAGAGAGGACGAAAGAAAGCCAGGGGACGGTCGGGAATTGAACCCGGGCCTCCTGATTGCCGGGCAGGGGTGCTGACGAAAGAAAGCCAGGGGACGGTCGGGAATTGAACCCGGGCCTCCTGATTGCCGGTCAGGTGTGCTACCATTACACCACCGAACCCAGGACATTCAGTCGTGCCTCTCAACACTGCCTTCATCACAAATAGGAGTGGAGAGGGAAATGTTTCTGCCATAGTTTTAGATCAAAATTCTGAACCTCGTTAGCCATCTCTCGAGCGAGAAGAGTCCAATTTCTCCTATATAACTCTTCGTGCCTCTCATCATTTTCGTGGCTTGCCTCTGAACTCTCTCGGGCGCCGTTAGATTAAATTTATTCGCAGGTCTCCAAAATTGGACGCAATACTCTAAATGAGGTATAACATGGCATATATTTCAGCCAATTACAGCAGGTACTCACCCTACCTGGAATCCCGAGCGTCTCCAATTTAGCCTGAAACTTCTTGTGAGGAGCGGTTTCGAAAGCTTTCGCAAAATACAGGTAAACCATGTCCACAGGATTCCGCCCGTTTACCCAATCGTAGAATTCGAGCAAATTGGCGAAGCAAATTGGTAAGTCAGTGCATATTGGATAGATCTCATCTCGCCAGTGACGGAAGAGAGTGCTCCTTAGCAGTCATATTCGCTCTTGTGCAGGAAGGAATCCAATCCAATCCATCCGATGGTATTTATCCGAATGATTGGACGAACACAGTGAGGCAAACAGACGGTCAGTCTCAGAATAACTCGGGAAAATATGAGCCTTGCAGATAGATATCAGAGGATCTATTGTACTGTTGACGATGGGGAATAAAGGTCGAGTTCTTGGCTCCATCGAGAAACGTCTCGGATAATGAAAATCCGCTCTGTCTCCCCAATTATAGTTTAATTTTCTCCCCGACTAAGACCTGCATTTTCTTCCCTCCAAATCGGATTGGTTCCTCGAAGCTCTCTTCCCTGCATGTATGAAAAAAAAAAACAATGTCAGTCCCTCGTATTGAATTGATTCGTGATCGAGGAGAGTATTCAGGCATTTTCATGGCGTGATTGGAAGGTGCTCTTGAGACTCCGCAAAACGGTGGAAAGAAATTCGAAATATGAGACGAAGAATGGGAATGGGACTAAACTCACTAGAAGTTATTCTGGCATCATATTACGGATGATCAATCATACTCATGTACAGTACCAGGAAAACTTGGAACAAACATTTCAACATGCTTTATGATCATCAAAGATTACGTCCAGATCCTCCCAGAATTCATCAATCTTGCAGTCTTTTCCTGCTGCATCACGCAGGCTCAGCATTTCACAGGATGCAGAAATAAATTATACGGAAAACTTTGTGGGGTATTTTCTGTTCCATAAAATTTGTGGAGGAGTCCTACTCATAACAGTAGCTTCCTCTACGTACCTTCATGAAGTGTTGAATGGTGAGACTGTCTCTAAAATTAATGGCAAGTAAAATGAGCCCATCTATCACCACACTGTCCCATTGCAATTTCGATCCAATAATTAACGTAAATTCTTGCTTGCATGTGCACACAGTTTTCATTGTTTTGTAGATATATATGGTTGAATGTTGGCAAATGATTTTAACGGGTGACAACTGTGACTTTTTTCTAAGGGGAGGAGGATGATGGTAAAGACGGAGGGAAGGGAGGGGAAGATGAGGACGAGGACGAAGATGAGAAGCTTCCATCTTGTATGGACTACGTCCTTCATTTCCTCACGCTCTTCTGGAAGATCCTCTTCGCCTTCGTCCCACCCACAGGCAAGTTTCCTCGTTTTCTTCGCTTCCATTCCAGGCATTTTATATCCCGCTCGCTTTTCGCCCAATTCTGTCACTCTGACTGCAGGTTCCAAGTCTACCGTCTAATAATATTGTAAAAGTCGCACGTTCTGACGGAACATTTGTCATCCCTATCCATTGTTTTAGTCACAATTATATACCCATAATCCAGTAAACTTCTGGTAGCGATGGAAGAGGGCTATTTTAGCGTTTCTTGGGGACGCTCTATCGGAGTTGTTTTGGCAGAAGCGTTCATGGCCGTGATTTCACAACGGTAACCATCAAACCTACTGGCCTTCTCAGTTGGAAGAATTGTAGAACCGAATAAAGATTGCGACGAACAGAAAAAAGTCACGAGAGTCCCAGAGTCCCATGTGGAAAGAAGTTACTGGATATCGGTTTGTAGCAATTACTAGCGAAGGCGCTAACGGAGAATTTGGATGGCGGAATTCACCACTATGGTCAAGACGCTCCACTTCGCAAATCGAGAGGTCGACAGGGACGAGAGGGATGGGATGCGTTTCGCATGTATTCACGTCATATACTACTGGGTGTGTAATTGCGTTCCCCAGATGTCAGTTATGAGATTGTAAAACAGTTGCATGATATTCAAGTGTCCAGCAGTTTCTTTCGCACAGCACAAGAAAATTCAGAATGGTGTCCAGCTAGGGATATTTATTTTGGTCGTTCGGGATGGAGATAATCTTACTTAGAAATGTACCTCGTATTTTTTAAATTAAAAGTACTCGGATAGAGAACGGAAAACTATTTCATTAACCCACATTCGGCGTCACTTGTCGCAATGTCATCTCTTCGCTTCGACGGAAAGCAGAACTTAACTGACTTATCTCTCAGAAGACATATGTCGACATGCGTTCTCTCCTTTCGTCACATCCTGATCCTTCAAAAATTTTCGGGTGGAAAATGCCTAATGAGGTCTTATTAAATTTATTTTCTCAAGGCAGCCTCGTTAGCTGCATCTTTCGATTTCCCCCAAATTTAAAACCTTCAATTCGATCGATGATCTACCCCAGCGATTTTTCTTCGAACGAGAAAGAGGAATGCCTGAATGTCTTCTTCAAACAAGGTGGAGACTCATTTAGAGTTCTTTCAGCCGCTGTGAAGCAAAATGGGGAAAACTATATCAAAAGTTTGAGAAGAGTCGTTTCTGGATCACGAAGTCATTTCGATATAGTTTCTAACAGAGATATGAGCGATATCGAAATTATAGCAGAAATCAGAAGTTAACAGCTCCAACATGGTTATGAGCCATCTAGCTTTGCTCATATCTCAACACACACGGAAAAAGGAAGGAACGGACATGTTTGGAAAATGATGTCATGTCTTCACTTCGCACCTCTCGCCTATTGCCTCGATGCCAATGAAGTGGACAACTTTGGACGATCCCTGTCCATGCCAAGTAAAGGACATAAGCCTAAATCCTTCTGTAAAAATAAATAAATAAATAAATAAAAATTTAAAAAATAAAGAAACCGCATACACACTTTGAAGGTTGTTGGCCTTGTCGCATGAGGAATATGTGAGGCCCGGGTAAGAATCATTCCTCAGGGATGGCCTAGTATGCTGCACTTCCCCTGATACGAAGATGAACTGTACCTTGTCCCTCTTCCACCTTTCTCATGGAAGGGTGGAGGTAGGTATCAGAGGTCAGAAACATTATTTTTGTCGAGTGCCTTTACGCCTTTCGACGACAGGGTGGGACAGAATTATCCCTTGGAAGAACCATGACATGACACGCCCACCATGACAATGCTGTCACGGATTCAAGGTTGTCAAAGAAAGGCTCAGTTAACTGACGGTGGTATTACCCTCACATTCCTTCTATTCCTCAGGCCTGGTCCCTTGTGAATTAGCACCAATCCCGGTTTTCAAAGACTTCCAGAGTGGGACAAGCTGTGAATGGAATATATCTACTCTACCAAAGTGGCTTTTTACACTAAGGTCGGGGAATCCCAATGGTGCAGTTTAAACAGGGTTGGTCGTAGGCAAGGGGAAAGAACGTTTTCTTTAATTAGGAGTGCGACAGATTTAATTTTATTCTATTTATTTAAATTTAAAAAAGCGATTTACGGAGAAAACTTGCTTTCCTTTTGATCATACCATGTACTTTGTCCAGGGGCCATGGCCAGTACTAGATTAACTTGGTTATGCGTTTTTCGTGGTTCTTACTCTACTGTACCACATTTGGATCTTCAGGAGTGACCCCTCTATGTCCAGCGTGTTAGCTTCCTGTCTTCCCGGAGAAAGAGCTTGCTTTCCTGGAATCCCAATCAACTCGTGACAGCTTTCAAAGTTTAATGTTCGCATATGATAATGTTCGCACATGTTCGTGAGGATGCGAGGCTGACACCCTAGCTTCCATCCACTAAAGGCTGAGACTGCTGTCAATGGTAGAAATCTGCATGCAAAGGCATAGAATAATGCCGGGCTTCACCACCATTATGCTCTTTCTGCTGTCTCGTTCATACACAGAAAAAGCGAGCGTAGGAGGGAGGCAGATCACTACAATATGAAACCCGAAACTCGAGTCCCGATTCGCAACGAACCCCCATGAAGGGTAGCTAAAAACGTGAAAGAGGGTTCAGGCCCAGCATTTTCCTGTGCCTTCTAGTTTTATCACTGGGGTCACTCTCAGCTCACTAGGGGGAAGAGGGGGAAGGAAAAAAAGGTTTCACTTCGATTTCGCCATCACATCACCGAGATTTACAGCCAGAGGTGTGCATATTTTACGAGATACTAATAGATGGATCGTCAATGTCTATAGGATAATTTATTGGGGCCCTCTGAGGCAAAACTTCGTCAAATATAATCCCTTCATAGACGTACTATAGGCGGCAGTTTGCAGGTTCGGACCCAGGTCTCATAGATATCTCGATCGGAGTCTGAAAACCGTTTCAAGGTGGACATATCGATGGGACGCCCGTCGGAACTTCCTATGGGCGACTACAGGACGTGAAACATTTCATATACTGTAATGACCATGCGTGGGTGTCTGGACGAAAATTTTGCCTTAGTAGAGATTGAGATTCAGGCAGCATTCCCAACGACTTACACGTGTCCCTGTAATCTAGTCCCCCACAGAACTCCTAAACGTATCATCGGCTTTTTTGTACACTACACTACTTTCTCTCTTGTCTCAATACAATATTGAATGTCTCATTTTGTTTCAGATTATTGGGGCGGCTGGCTAAGTTTCCTGGTCGCCATATTGTGGATTGGAGTCCTGACGGCAGTCATCGGAGATTTAGCAGGCCATTTTGGCTGCACCATCGGACTCAAAGATTCCATCACCGCCATATCGTTCGTCGCTCTTGGCACCAGCATCCCTGGTAATCCATCAATCACTCATTATCATCCACCAGGAATTAACTTGTTTATCCTCAAATCCCCCTCATATATCCCTGCTGATGCTGACGATGAAATTTTTCTTCAACATCTCCATGTCACACGATAGGATCCAGTTGTGTGTGAGAAAAAATGTCTCCCTTCGAAGGGAGACTTTTTTTCTCACACACCATTTGGGCATCGCGATTGATAGCTCCAATCCAGTTTTTTCCCCAATGAAATCACTCGTGATTTCATTAGGGAACTTCAAATTCGAAGAAAAACGAGTCGGTAGCCTCTTAACAGAGTATTAATCCTCTTTGAGGATTTTTTGAGAATGACAAAAAAAAAATCAATCTAATTTTTAAAAAATTGTAAAAATGAGTGATGCGCACCAAGAACCGACTAGCGATAAGACGGTAAATCAGCTTTCCAAATGGGCATTCGCTACATGATTCGTGTCTCTGACTTATCATCCAGATGCACGGAATCTTTTTAAACTAATGCAAAAAAAATCATGCTGCTTACACCTTTTAATACAATTTGCAAACGAGCTTTTTATAAGAGATCTTTCAATTGCATTTGGAGAGAGAATGGAGCTGGGCAGGATTCCCTTTCATGCCGTTTCTACATCCTAAAAATAAACAAATATAAAAGCCAATATTGTGGAGCACACTTATCCTTTGAGGTAAACCCTCCCATATGCTGCCTTTCCTCTCATGATCGCTTAAAAAGCTGAATTTGTATTATTCTTGGCAGAAAAGACGTAAATAGGGACTCTTCAACGGGATTTTCTTGTCGCACAGCATGTGTGTGGCAGTCTTCATCGAGTGGGAAATGAACATGTACCAGCATTTTCTTCTTTGGACTGCGATTTTACAGAAAATTCATCGAAACAGGCTCCTAAGAACCCAAGCATGAAATTTTCCACGCGATTACAATAGAGCGATTTTCTGAAAATGCTCACCTTGGCTGCTTGCTCTGTACACGAGGATTATTACTACTTCCTCACATTCGCACTTGTCCACTTCGCATTTTCGTCGCATTTTACCACTTCCTCAAGGAGTGCGGCAACGCAGTCGTTGATTTTCCAGTCGTTCTCAGGTCACCACTCCCAAATCTCGGAGACTCGCGTGGTTTCGAACTATCGCCTTCGAGATTCGTAAATGCGTTTTACCCGACAGGACATCGAGGTGACTTCAGAAAATTTTCTTTTTATTTTATTTTCCCATCGTTGACTTTTTCTCAATTCTAGGTCTAGATGATGACCCTATTTTGTTTCTCCCATGAAGGCATCCTTAAGAATATCAAATCCCCAAACTGCAAGTCAACTTCATTTTTTCAATTTTTAATTTCTTTTATAAAAGCCTATTTCGGCTTATTGGTTGTTTCTTTTTCGTTCTCTTTTAACCTGCAGATTTTATACCGGGCCTTTCCTTCCCTCAAATCTGACGGATTTCTGCTATGTCAATATGTACTTGTGACGTCTATGAGGAAGAATAGCACCCCAGTTTCCGCTTTTACTCAAAAGACAGAACGCAACGGACATTTCTCAAGAAGCCACGAAGTGAAATAGCTCCAGATGTTAGGTCAGCATTCGATTTCAAGAGACGCTCTTAATGCTGTAGCATCTTCCTCCTTTTTTTTTCTCACTGGGGTCTCACCTTGTACATGCTGAGTTTCTTGTGGGGAAACGAGAATGATCCTGTGTGGGGCTTCGCATTTCCCCACTTAATGTTTGGGGGCTGGCGACGAACTGAGAAGGTGAAAAAAATGCGAAAGGGCCCCTCTGGATCCCATTGCGAATGAGGCAGGACCTGTGCTTAATATTTCTTTCGCGTTTCGGCAGATGCATCTGCTGTCTTTATCGTACGACATCTACTCTTCCCTTTAGAAAACACGTTTTCCAGTGTTGCCGCTCTCCATCGCAGTGGGGAAGCGCTAATGCCTCAGATCAAGTGGCAAAATGCGAATGTGGGCAAAAGGCGAAGCACCCGTTTCTGGCTCCCGAGTGAAAATCAGGCGAGGAATCGAGTCCGGGTGACATGAGCTCCTTCGCCGACAGGCGACTCACCTGCTCTCATGGGGAGTGTCTGCTTAGCATGGGATAGCACACGCGCCACTTTGTGTGCCACTTCTAAGAGATACGGGTGCAGTACATCTTAAAAACCACTCGTGCCAGTTACGGGCTGAGGTAACCCGTGAGCTGCCCCCTAGGCCAGGAGGAGGAGAGGTCAGTCACGACCTAGACGAGAGAGCGAAAGGTCTTAATCCTAGAAGTGCCAGAAACAGCACGGTGGTCTACCAACTTCGATTTTATCGACGGTTGGCACTTCTAGGGTTAAACCACGATTCAGCCGAAAAGTAGAGCGTAAACTTGAAACCTACCCCAGGTTACTTGAAGTAGGCCTGGATCAAAAAGAACTCTGAGAAGAAACCTGTGGAGTGAATCCTGCAAAAAGCCAATTTGTTGCACCAATGACCGTATACCCCTTCAAGACAACTGAGTATTCGGGTTCTTTGGTAACCTTCACTATTGAATCACTGTCATGTATCGACTGTTACACTCACGATCCCGATAAGCAGGTAGAGCAGAAACGTTAGAATGACATCTAGAGACAGTGCATTCAATAGAATTGTAGCTCAGAAGCAAGGGGGAAATTTCGGGAGACGAAGAGGAAATGAAAGAGTTAAGAGACACCTAACGAGTACCATCATCACTAATAGCAGACGAAAGGCGCATGAAGCGACGTTCCTATTCAGCTAAATAAGTGTGTTCCCCCTGACCTCTTCGGAACTGCGCAGTATTCTCCCGTCCAATGAGGCGCCGTGATCGCGTTTCTACAGGGGACTGGGCATGGTAGTAGGAAAGAAGCTGGGTTCGGGGATGGGTTTCTTTTCCTCATTTTCATTCAGTCGTCAGTTCACCAGAAGAATCCTGCAACATGCCCCATAACCCTGGTTGTCGCTGCCTCCTCCTTCGCTTTTCGTGTCCCGGGCAATTTAGTATGTTGCGTAGCTTTTAATGACGAGAAGCACCCGTTCTTCCTGTCTGGAATGTGTAGAAACTCGGGAAAGAAGCTGTAAGAGGGCCCATAGAAAGTATTCGTGGTGCAACCATATGGGGGGGGGGGAGAGGAATGATAGCAGCAGCAGCATTTCGAGTCGAGTTCATACTCCTGAACTACATTGTACTGCATGTTGCACGCACGATGCAGTACACCGCAGCAGTCCGTTTAACGGGCGACAGAGCTGTTCCCTGCATCCTGCAGATGCAGCACTGCATCTGCTACTTGTTCTGTACAGTATCCTTAATTTAAAAAATAGGAAAGATTTTTATTCAATCCATCATGCTGTACGACAATATTTTTTGACGGACAACATGTGGCATCCAGCTACTGCACAGTACGAATGTAAACTTGGACAAAGTAGGCAAGAATGTTTTCGCTCACTTCCCACCCCCCCCCTCCCCCCCCGCCAACCATCCAAACTCGAGTCTGGTTGCACCACTACGTTAAACCCATATAAGGTAAAATAAAAATAAAAATCTTTTAATGTAAAACGCTTACATCCATGTAAGACATCCATGTACATCCATGTAAATCGCGCATTGAAAGAGTGCTCTTTTTTTGGGCTACCCTGTATATTGTCCTTTCTATTAGGAAAAGTTCTTTAAAAAAATACAGCATCGGTGTTGTTATGCATGTTAAGTCAGGCGAAACTTTGTTCGAGCCACTGCCAGATGGCTTGCCCGCTCCGCCAAGTAGCACAAATATGCTTTTAACGTTCAATTGAGAGTCCTTCAGAAACGCCATGAAGAAGTGGATATTGATGACCAAACAGCACCTTAACTAAGCGCCCAAAAGCAGCTCATTCATGAGCATTAAACATAACAATACCTCTCTGAACATAGGGTGAAAGTTTTCGAGAAAGTTCATTTGCTACTTAGGCAGGAACTATCACAATACAGGACTTAATTTGAGGTAAGAGCATCTGTACCATTTTTCCAATGATACGAGTTGAATCATACCTTGCTAAGCCATGCTTTTCTTTCAGTGGAGCTCTTCAAAGCTGCATGACCTCAAGGCCATGAAAAAAAGACTAGAAACATCAATTAGTACCTTACAGTGCCAATAACACAATACACCACCATTGAGAAACATCATGTGTCTAAAATTTTATTTGCAACAAAGATTACTACATGAGACACAGAGATCTCCTAGAACACAGACCAATGCTGACCTCAGAAAACAGAAAACACAGATCTCTCTGGTATGCACCAAAAGCAGATAAAAATCTTGATTGCATGATTACAGTGGCCCTGGCTCCATTGCTTAGGCAAAAGCAAATTCCAAAATAAATTTGGCTTGAATGTGTGCACAATGAACTGATAGAAACAGAGAGTAAACATGAGCAATTGTAATAGCCAGCACCAAAGGAATGAAGCCCAAGGTACTGGAGGTACAGATCACATAATAGACTCCATTTTCCTTTCAGTATCATGAATAACTCCCAGCTCTTTACACACATATGCAAGCATGTACACCACCACACACATATACAGTACTACACTGTGGAGGGCTATGCAACATGAATGCCTGAAATTCTCCTGCAATACTGGAGGGGTTGTCATTGAACATGTGCACATAATAGAATTTAATTACATTCAGAGTGAATGCTCTGAATGTGGATTCTCGTCCTGAATGCAATTACATTCAGAAGCATAATCCACAAGCACCAGAGTTCAAATTTCATGCTCCTTGCACCCAAACCATACTAACTATGGTTCCCTAACTAAAGGGGAAAAGATGAGAAACTGAGTTTAACACAAATATGACCCGTTTTGACTGAAACAAAGCTAAGCTTCATGAACCACAAAAGCCTACAGCAGCAATTTTGCCAGTATTCTTTGCATACAAAGGGCAGACAATGGCCAGAGACGGAAATGACAAAGATAAGAAAAAACCCTGAACTCCAAAAATCCAGAAAAAATGAAACAGAAAAAGAGAATGAAAAAGACTTTGACAAAGGCTTTGACAAAAGAGATTTAGGAGCTTCCCTCTTCCAGGTGCTTATCAAACTCAAATTCACCCAGCCCTGTACCAACACGCTTCAGATTGGCCATATGATCTCCAATCTTCTTGATTGACTTCACTTGCTCTTTCAAGAACTCACCTTCAAGGTAGTCAGTCATCTGGGCATCTCCATGCCTTGCAGCCAAACCATGCAAGTCCAACAATGCCTGAAGAAAAATGAAAGGTAGACATAAACTCAGCACCACCCAGAAGAATTTTCAGTATGACATTGAGTATGCTTTTAATATTACATATTCATTATTCACAGCAGAATGCAAAAAGAAAAATAAAGCCAACTTCCATCTCAATGCTGCCCCAAAAGCACTGACTCATCACACACCCATCCAGGAAAGAAATGGCAAGTTTGTGAATTGAAGGAGACCCATAGTTTTATCCCATCAACCTCAGAAACTACAATTTCGCATTTCAATGCAAAGTTTTGTCTGTTTAAGGTCATTCCAACTCTCCATTCACTTCCTAAGTTCTTTAATATCACAAGCTGCAGAACTCGGGCCCAGAAGAATACCATCCAGTCCAGCTGTCTTAGACCTGCACAGATTTGTACGGCAAGTTTGCACCTGAGCACCTCTAAGAAGTTTGGTATTTATGAATATGATTGCAAGAGCATTCAATAGATAGACAGTTCACATCTAAATTCAGCTTAAGGAAATTTAGGTCTTACCCCTCAATCTCAATTTGTGGCCCTTCGGATGCCTCCGGTCTCCAAAGATCCATATTTGTATGCGGCCTGTTTCGGCTCATTTTCGAGGGTCTGCGGCCCTCAAACCCCTCGAACATGAGCCGAAGTCTCAATTTGGCCCTCTAGGGTAAAAAAGTTGTGCACCACTGCTCAAGAAGATTTCTTCGAAAGTTTTCCTTCAGATATTATTACTTTCGATATTAATTCGTCGTCTATGCAATACAACTTTTCCGTTATGGACGAGTCTCAAGAAAGTTTAAACTTTTTTGAAACACCCAAAAATATATAGGTGCACTTGGTCCAGAATTCCCCTATTTTACACTTGTCACAATACACCACAATATCCCACCTGATTCACAGTCTTTTCCAGTTCAAGGGCAGCTGTCATGGCGTCCATTCCACTTCCCCATTCGTCCTTGCTGGGCTTGTCGATTGGGTTGAGAACAACTCGCCCACCTCGCATGTTCTGATAGTGAATCAGCTTCTCTGCACATTCCCTTTCTTCATGTGAGAACTCCTTGAAGAACTTGGCAAACCCCTTCAGAGCTACATCATCTCTCTCGAAATAAGCTGCCTAGAAATCAAAGAACAGAAAAACCCATTACAAACTGATGGGGGGGGGCACTTCTTTCCAAGTTGTTATATCTATAAATAGGTACATTAGGCTTACGCAACCTATTATATCCCTAGATCATGGATATGACACCTTGAAGCGTAGGCCTATCCAAGTAGAATCGGAAAAATCAATGAATGTTCAATGAATGTGCACTGAACGTCCTCAAAAACGTTCTGTTGATTGTTCGAATGTCCAAAATGTTGAGGGTTCAAAAGTCGTTCATATAATGTGTTCCCTGAGCTTCACAAAGGACATGAATTGAACGCTCCTGAGCATCACCAAAACTTTCAAATAACTTTCTCTTTTAGGATTCAGCCAACAAGCAATAAACATATTGGGAACGATAATCATTTAAAATGCCTTATGTCCATGAATTGCTCTGCTCCTGTGTCAGAGGCCATCACACAACAAATATTTTTTACCTGATTGGGATTACAACCGTCCTTAGTGAAGGAAGCTAAAATTCCTCTCATTCTTTTTCATCTCCTTGTTAGATCTAAACTCCCTTCCCAGATGCAAAACTCTTCCTGATATCAGCTCAACGGGTCTTTTCCTGTTCCGGAATCTTCTTTTGAGGCGTTAGAGTAAGCACTCGGATCCCCTTAAAAGTCATAATATGCGCTATTATGTTGATCAATTGCCATTGTCAATTTGAAAGTTGAACACCCTCCGAGCCAGAGTTTTCTGGAGACTGGGTTATTTCTTTAGGCAAATGTGGAGAAGAATTCAAATATATTTTCCTGTGTGTGGCTATAGAGTTAATCATAGCTGTGTCAGCTACAGCAGCTATTTTGGCGTCATCCCACTCCGGTGGTGCGAACTTTTGTTCGAGCCACTGTCAGATGGCGGCCAGTTCAGCACGGATGAACTGAAAGAAAATGCCTCCTTGACGTTCAACTCGTCTCCTCCAGAAGCGTCCTGTGCTCGTCCGTGAACATCGGACGTTCTAAAACCTCTTTTAACACAAATGGAACGGCTTCGAGAACGTTCATGTTACTTCGGTAGGAACCTCCGTTCCCAGCCAGGACCTGACTCCGTTTTCTTGGGCGGCTTAACCTTAATTGACTTTCACTATATATAATGCCTTCTGAGCTTATTCTTACGATAGCATTAGCAAGAACCAGGAATATAAGAACACCGGACACTCCCGATTTTCTGATTGCTCGCAAATAATGGGAAGTGCAGCTACCAATCCTGCTCAGACTGCGCGACACGCACACACTCGTCTCTACGCTACCTGACAAGTAAATTCTCCACCAAGCACATTGCAATGTTTCTGCCGTATGAGAGAGCGGAGTTTACCCAAACGCCAACGTCCACCACGTCTAAAATAAATTCCTAAACTTTCCCTGTGAGATTCGAGCGTGGGATAGCCGTGGTCGCTAGGCACAGCACTCAGCATTGATGGCTCTTTCTCAGGCTCTGTAACGCGCGTACACCTCAGTATTTATGCTGCGTGTTGCGTGCTGTACTATCGTTGTGCACCCGCTCACGTTTGAGACCTTTGACGCACGAGAGATCGTCTGCAATTAATTCAAGGAATATGGAACTCTTCATATATAAGAACAACTCTTTTGATGGAGAGAAACTCATATGCCACTCATTAACAGAAGATAATCTGAAGTTCCAGATTGAGTATATGTCATTAACTTCAATGATTCGCGCAGCCTCTTTCTCGCCGAAGAAACGAAGTCCAATAGCCTTCCATAAGCATTGGTCCGATCGGTGCTAGCATGATGGAGGTTGATTTTGTCTGGATTGTGGGAGAAGGTGATATTCCCTGGCAAACTAGATGGCAGTTCATCCCTGAGGAGGGAAGTCATTTCAATGTCAGGAACCTTATGCGTCCGGCCATTGTCTCGTCAATATCTTACTGGAGGTAGGAAGAACATGTCAGACTCAGTTCGCAGTTTATGTATGAGACGGCCTCCCCATCATTCGGTCAATGAGTCAAGCAGATAAATATCCTCGTCAGAGGTGAAAGGTTACAGAGTAGAATTGGAGGAACATGAAAACGAACAAGGACGCAGTTAGTGGGGGAAAATACGGAGTAAACCTAGTGTTTCGCTACTGGTAAGATGTCGTACTGTGGTACTGCGGCAAAGTAGCAAATTTTAACACGAAATGCACGCGGCATCCAATCTTATGGAAGTTTTGAATTGAATTGTTTTTTATTTCCATGGATTCTGGTCGTCAGACACCTCGCAAAAATTACAGCCCAAGATAATACAACAAAAACAATCAAGACATCATGTCTAGGTCAATGATAAAAAGTCTCTCTTAGACAGAAATACATACAAAAATGATTTTTGAAACTTTGATGTGTTGGCTTTTGGACGGCGAATACCATTTCTGGTCACCGGACCACTCCGTTGTCCAATGGCTTTTTGTATGTCTGGTCTCTAATGATGATCTGCACTCCTTGAAATGCGCGTGACCAGGGCAGTACCAAGAGAATTTCATTTCTCGACAAAATTGGTGACATACTTCTTTTGCTGATTTGTTGATTACTCATAGAACAACCCATAAGCGTAGCGTGGATGAAAAAAGAGGAGGGGGGTGGGAAGGGGAGCAAGTGCACTTGGTACTCCCAACGCTACGCCGCTAGAACCACCTATGTGGTAGTGCCACTAGGGTTGCCACCCGTTCATAATTAATATGGACAGTACATATTAATGATGCAATGTCCATACTGCAAACTTGTCTTAATATGGACAATGCTTCATCCATACTTTAAACTTCTTAAGATTTTTTGAGTTAATAAAGCTTAATAGCAGCTAAAACCACTCTTTTCTGCAAGTTAGAGAAGTAGGCCACACGATTGGTGCTTTGGTTGCTGTAGGTATTTAAAATGTGCATGGGAAAGTCACATACGCAAGTATACTTCGAATGTTTGTCCATATTTTGTTAATTTCAAAGGTGGCAACCCTAAGTGCCACACAAAACGTTAACACGGATAACACCAACTGGTGATTTTCACGTTGAGCATTGCGTGACATCTGCAGGAGACATCATAGAACTTGAGTTCGATGAAGGACCGTTAGATGGGGGAAACGTCTGGAGTGGTCCCTGTAATATCACGATAGCCTAGCTCAGAAACATGGCAGCGTGCTTGGCTGAGGCCTTCCTTGTCAGAGTATAGGGACGGATGTCTGCGCGTCACGAAGCCTGAGCAGGGCACCGTGCGTATAGCGGTAGGTAGGTGGACACGTAACGTACAGTAGCTGTCATCTTTAAAAAAAAAAAAAAAACGTGCGTAATACACTCACCATGGAAAGGTAGACATAGCTGGCGTACATTTCCAAATTGATCTGCTTATTGATGCCAGCTTCGGCTACATCGTGAAAGTTCTGACGAATTTGAGAGAAAGACATGGTTGGAAGCAGGAGTCACTCGAGGAGCGTTGAGGTCAAATACAAAACTCAGACGTAACAGAAGCAGAAGCAGACGACACACAAGCACGAAGTACGGAGAGAAAATGGAAGAGGGAGGCAAGAATGAGACGGAGCAAGCCTAGCTGGGCATGCGCATGACCGCCGCGCACCTTTTATATATATCTAAGTGCCTTCAGCATCCCCAGACGTCTTCAGCGCGTCGTCTTCCCAACGCCTTCGCGCATCTGTTCCTATGTGAGCTCTATGTATCCAACATTAGAAATTCTAAAGCCTAAACTATAACATGCAGGAAGATGCAATCGCACAGGCGTGACGAGTGTCGTAGAGGGAATCAAACGCAGCACTTAAAAATTTGTTATTATTATTTTCACCATAACATGATTTGGGTTTCGCCCAGAAATGACAGGGTAAAAATAGAAAATGTACGCTGGTGTTCCGATAAGTATGTATTATGACTGGAGATGCCTTCAAGACATCCCTAACATGTCCTGAATACATTTTCCTCAAGATATCGAAAAGCGTTCCATTGAAGATGCCTTCAAAACATCTCTTACGGGATATCCAGAAGCATTTAATTAAGGCGGTCCTAAGGATAGGGATATCTATAAGAATTCGACCGAAGATGTCTAAAATACGCCTTTGAGATGTCTCGAAGCCATCTCTTTCGAGATGTAGAAAACCGTCCGAAAGAAAATGTCTTCCAGATATCCTATAAATACCTTGAGGCAAGTCGTCAAGTTGGTGACTTCCTTGGGATATCACTGTTCTATGTGGGAGGGAATCAGTTTTCAAGCTGAACCCTCCATCCTCCGAGTAGGAGTTTCCTGGAGACTCCTTGGACTGGACTCTTTAAACGAATGCGTTCAGGAATTCAAATGTCTTTAAGATGTCCGTAGGGAAAGATCGGATACCGAATGAAAAGTATTTGGGACCCATTTCAGCTGTATCAGGTATTGATACGCTATATTGACCACTTGGGCGACATTCCGGTTCCATTAAGTGAAACTTGTTCGAGGCATAGCCAGATGGTTTGTCAGAAGCTCCACTAATTAGCACAGATGTGCTTGAAGAAAACGTCCCATTTAGAGTTCAGATTTAGAGTCAAGATAAATAGGATACTGGTGATCAACCGTCACCTGAGCTGAGATCGCAATAGCTGCCCATCCAAGAACATTGACAGTTCAAAAACCTCTCTGAACACAGTTTGAACGTTTTCCAGAACGTTCATGTACTACTTTGGCAGGAACTATCACAATTCAGACTTAATTTGATGTAAGTGTTTCTGCACCATTTTTCCAATGAGACTAGCTGAATCATAATATGAAAAGTCATGCTTTCCTTTCAGTTTAAGTTGCATGACCTCAAGGCCATGAAGAAAACAAAAAATATCCATTAATACCCTATAGTGCTAGTAACATGATGCACTAGCATTGACGATGCTGGAAAATATGCAATGTCTAAAATTTTATTTGCACAAAAGATGAGAAACAGAAAAGGCAGATCCTCCAAGAACACAGACCAATGCAGACCTCAGAGAACAGATGATGCAGATTCATCTAGTATGCACCAAAAGCAGATAAAAGCCTTGATCCCATGATTGCAGTGGCCCTGGCTCCATGGCTCAGGAGTAAAAACAGATGCCACAATGAACTTGGCTTGAATGCATGATCACTTTCTTGAATGCGTGATCACTTTCTTGAATGCATGATCACAGATGCCACAATGAACTGATTGAATTAGAAAGCAAACCCGGGGCAATTTAAAAAACCAGAACAGAGGAGTGAAGAAGCCTAAGGTATTGGAGAGACAGATCACAAGACAGGATTCATTTTCCTTTCAGTGCCATGAATAACTCCCAGCTCCTTACACACACGCATAAACATGCATGTAACCACACACATTTATAGTAATACACTGGAATGCAATGCAACATGAGCGCCTAAATTTCCACTGCAATACTGGGGGGTTGTCATTTCAAACGTGTACATGGTACCGGTTGTACTCTAGAAGTAAACTAGAATCCACAAGCACCAGATTTCACGTTCTTTTCTCCTCACACTCCAACCAGAGCCACAACAAAATGACAAAAGGTGAGAAACTGAGTTAACACAAATAAGACCCCTTTTAACTGAAAGGAAGCAAAGCTTCAAGAATCATGAAAGCTTGCAACAGCAGAAAGTCGGCATCTTTGCATATAGAGGACAGACAATGGTCACAGACTCAGACATGGGAGAGGTAAGAAAGAACCCTGAATCCCGAAATCCACACAAAATGAAACAGAGAAAGATATTCAATCGTTGAGAAAGGTCTTTGAGAAAGGCTTTGAAAAAAAGATTTAGGAGCTTCCCTTTTCCAGGTATTTATCAAACTCGAATTCACCCAGCCCAGAGCCAACGCGCTTGAGATTGGTCACATGATCTCCAATCTTCTTGATGGTCTCCACTTTATCTTCCAAGAACTTACCTTCAAGGAAGTCAGTCATCTGGGGATCTGCATGTTTTGCAGCCACAGCATGCAAGTCCAAAAATGCCTGAAGGAAAAAATAAAGAAAAGAAAGGAAGAAATAAACTCAGCACCTCCCAGAAGATTTTACAGTAGGGCGTTGCGATAAGAGAGAAATTTCTCGATAGCTATACTGAGAGGCCAATACTGCGGTACTTCGGCGATACTGGCGAGGAGCGGTGGGGGGCTGACTGCTTCAATTACGAACTACCAGAAACAATCCCGCCAGGCAAGAGAGTCTTTCTATTGTGATTGGGATGAACTGAAGTCCTTGTGCTTGGAGAAATATCTCCAAACTCAAGACGTCGCATTCAGTTTGGCGATTATGTCTGTGCCTGAAATATCGTCCCATCCCACATCCTCAAAAGACATGATGAAGGCGTTGAGTGCTCAGGCACACCGGCACGTATGAACCAAGGGCAAAGTCAGAGCAAATCGAACCCACAAATAACGGATTTTGGTCCATGAATCCAAATTAAACACACTCCGGTGACTTAGAGGAAGTCTTTGGTTTTCCCCAGGCGGTGAGCGCCACCGTGGATGGAAGGATCGTTGACAATGTAATTTTCTTTTTAGGAATGGGTTTCAGTTTGGCGCCGTGGCGGCGGTATGATTATAGTCGTGTCCTACGGTATCCATACCATAGTGGCGGTATTCCACGGTTTTCATACCGTGGCGATAAATCGAAAAATGGAGAAGGGGTTGGTATGATTATCACGAGAAGCGAATACCCCAGTATGATGAAAACACCGATATATCGCGATACTCTATTTTCAGCATAACATTGTTTTTCCTTTCAATATTAAATATTCATTATCCACATCAGAATACAAAAAGAAAAAGAAAGACATCATCAATTTCAATGCTGCTCCAATAGCATTGACCCATCACACACCCATCCAAGAGAAATATGATAATTTTGTGAAATGAAGGAGACCTACAAGTCCATCCCATCAACTTCTGAAACTACAATTTCAACACTTCAACCGGGAAAAATTGTATTATTTCAATGTCGTTTTGACCCTCCGCTCACCCTCTAAGTTCTTTAATATCACTAGCCGTAGCTCAGGTCCAGGAGTGTCCCATCTAGGGGGCACAACAGTCTTAGATCTGCACATATCTGTGCAGCAAGATGGAGTTTGTGCATCTCTATGGAGTTGTGTTTTCCAGAATGTGATTGTATGAGAATCCTATTCATACGTTTAACAGTTTGCATCTAATTTCTGCTTAAGGGAATTCTAGTATTCTATCCTCCTAATTGGAGGGTTAAAACTTTCTTGAAACATGCCGAAATATTTAGGCGTACTTGGTCCCATTTTCCCCTTTTTGTTACACTGGCCACAAATGACAACAATATCTCACCTGATTCACAGTCTTTTGCAGTTCAAGGGCTGCAATCATGGCATCCAGTCCACTTCCCCATTCGTCCTTGCTGGGCTTGTCGATTGGGTTGAGAACAACTCGCCCACCTCGCATGTTCTGATAGTGAATCAGCTTCTCTGCACATTCCCTTTCTTCATGTGAGGACTTCCTGAAGAACTTGGCAAACCCCTTCAGAGCTACATCATCTCTTTCGAAATAGGCTGCCTAAAATACAAATAAAAGGGAATAAAATTCTACCTGATGAGCAGTTTACTTGTGGTTCAAACATACACCTAAAGATGACGTTGCCAAGTCTGGTTAAAACTGTGACAACCGTGAGTAGAGTGAGGAAGCAATGCTGAGAAGTGGTTTTGCGAAACAGTAAAACTTAGTGTATTAGGAGTTAGAGTATAACGGCAAGGACTTTCTACTCGCACCTCATATATTGAAAAACTCAAAAAGGTATGACTGGAGGACGATGAAATACATGTACTCTAACGGCGCAAGCTTGTGGATTTCCTCAGCAGCCACTTGGATCGCTGCCTGTCCATGACCGCCCAGATTGAGTCGCAGATATGAAAGGCACCGCCTGCGTGTGTCTAGTCCTTTTCCGTTACTGGTCCTTAGTGCTACTGCAGACGGCGAATGTGGTCTTGACCAGTTACGGAGGTCTCCTAGGCCTAGTCCTAAACCTACCTACATTTGGTACCGTCATCTTGGCGATTGTAGGTAACGTGTCCACCATCCCTCTACGCACACCACATTCCTCCTTCCATATCCCAACGTTGCCAACGTTCCCGTACACGGACCTGTCTATATGATGTTCGGGGATCGACCAGTCCGATTCCTATTCAACGATCGGATATCTCTTCCGATTTTTCATTGCTAGTGAACTATTAAGGTTCAGCAAGGAACCTTGCAGATTCCTGCTCGTACTTAGTGACACGCACACACCGGTCTCTTTGCTGCCTGACGAGTAAGGCCTTCGCCACGCACACTGCCATGTTTCTAACGTACGAGAGAGCGAATTTCGCCAAACGTGAACGCCCACATCTGAAACAATTTCCTTGGCCCTCTCAGCGAGACACGAGCGCGGGCTAAGCCGTAGTCGCTAGGCACACCACTCGGCATTGATGGCCTCTTGCTCAGACCCCGTAACGCGAACACCTCAGTACCTATGTCGCACGTTGCATGTTGAACTATCGGTATGCACCCACTTACGTTTGAGACCTTTGGCGCACGAGAGATCGTCCGCAATTATTTCAAGGATTATGGTACTCTTCTAAGATGAGAACAATTATTTTGATTGAGGGAAATTTATTATGCCCCTCATTAACATAAGACAATCTGAAGTCGGCAATGGAGTACATGATGAGAATGTCATTAATTTCGATGATTCCACGCAGCCTCTATCGCGCCGAGTAAACGAAGCCCGACAGTCTTCCGTAGTAAGCTTGCAAGGTAATGGGGGAAGCCAAGAAGCAATAATGAATTGAAATACCCTGACGGCTCCGTGGTCACACAAGGATGTATGGCGGGCAGAAAGAAAGCAAGTACAATCGAGCAATGAAGTATACACGGAACACGTTAAACTAAAGAAATGACCAGAAAAAAGTCCAAAGAATTAGAAAAGTCATGTCAAAAAAGGGACAAAGTCATGCCTACCTAGGAACATCAGTAAAAGAAATGAAATACAGCTAAAACAAAATAAACGAGAGAGTAAATTACAAAACTAACGAAATATAGGGTTGTCAGGCAATCAGAAATGAGATGCAAGGTCCTTCCACTGTGGGTTTTGTTCCTAAGTTTCCTTGAGGACGTCCAAGAATGGTATGTGGGGATGAATCTTTCGCAAATAACCTTTCGGCAGGTGATTCTTCAGAAGAGATTCGTGTCTCCTTTCCTCTCCACAGAATTCGTTTTTTAGGACCCCCCCCCCAATTCGCCTCAATTTGGGTGTCTGCTCCCACAAATGATATGAAGTCTACGCTAAAATGTAAAAAAATATGAAAAAATTGGCCCCAAGTAGTAACGAATGTTCACCGGTAAGGGGGTCCACGAAATTATCGCTATGCTTGACAGTTTGGTGTTGGTATCCGTACCGGTACAACCCCTAAAAAGCCCCCACTCGTCTGATCGGATGGTGATCCCTGGTTGGATGTGTCTTCGGATGATGAGAAGCAGGGTTCTCCTTTCTCGCCTCTCCACAATGAAGAGGTGAGCATGGCGTAACATCTACCAGAAACAATCTGGAACTTACTTTCGATGGGGGACCGCTAGATGACGGAAACGTCTAGTTACAGGCTCGAGCGGTCCCTGAAGCATTACATAACCTTGCTCTCTCGATCGTCAGAAACATGGCAGCGTGCTTGGCGGAGGCCTTGTCAGGCAGCAAAGGGATGGTGCACAGTGCAGGGCACCGTGTGGAATGTGATAGGTAGGTGGACACGTAACGTACAAAAGTTGCCATAAAAAAAAACAGTTGGTTATCACTCACCATTGAAAGGCATACATAGCTGGCGTACATTTCCAAGTTGATCTGCTTGTTGATGCCGGCTTCGGATTCATCGTGGAAGCTCTGACGAATTTGTGAGATGGGCATGGTTGGACGCAGGAGGCACTCGAGGAGCGTTGATGTAAAAGACAAAACTCAGGCGAAAGAAAAGCAGAAGCAGACGATGCACAAGCACCAAGTACAGACAGAAAATGGGAGGGAGAGAGGCGAGACAGAGGTGGAGTATGCGTAACTGAGCATGCGCCTCACCACCGTGCATCTTTTTCATTGAAGAAGTGCCCTCGGGATCACCAGACGTTGTCAGAGCGTCGTCTTGTCACAACTTTGCGTATATATGTGCCGTTATGAACAAAGATTATTTCACGTTAGAATCTCTAATGCCTAAACTATAACGTGAAGGAAGATGCCATCGTTCAGGTATGACGAATGGCGCACAGGAAATCAATCGCAGCACTTGACACAATTTTCTTACTATTGCCATCAGAGCATGGTTTGGGTTTCGCCCAGAAATGACAGTAAAAATAGTATATGTACGCTGGCGTGCAGATAACTTTGCGTCATGAAACCGACATAAGCAAAGCACGGGAAGATAGAGAAGTCAAGTCGGCGAAATAGCCTTACGAGCACACTTTAGTGAAGACGATAGTAATCTCCCGCTACTTTGCGTGGTCAACATATTCCCCGGACGTGACAGATTTCCGGCCCTGGGGCTACCTAAAGCCACGTACCTATAAGAGATAATCTCGGAGAGGTTTATCTCAGCGTCTATGGGTCGTGCGGTCTTGAATCTTGGTAGAACAGTTCATCATGGGGGATTAATCCAAACACATCACATATAAGGGCGCCAAAAACTAGTTGGAATAGGCGCCAGTATAATAATTGTCCTAAATGTCTATCATTTTCCTCAATGACAGCGTCTAGGGAGCAGACGACTGACAGCCAGCTGCATCAGAGTTGTGAGAGCATTGGCCATATTACAGTAACATATGGAATTATTCAGTTCTGACATTTTCTTGGCATTTAAAAAACCACAAGCAATCGGCGTAAGTGCCCCTGTAGAACGCTTTTATAGCTAATACTGTGGTGTGAAGTGTGGCATCCCCCGTAGGTGATGATGATGGGCTGCGCTGCTTAAACTTCTCTACCAAGATTCAAGGCCATACGTTGAGGGATGACGAAAGAGCTCTCTGAATACCTTAATTAACTTGCCGGTCACCCAGTTTTTTTTTCTTCCTCACTATTCAATGAGCCCCAATATATCAAAAGATTTTTAAACACTTTTTTTTTAATGCACGCCCGTTCTTTGTGATCGTAATGGTAGCAGTCGGTGTAGGCCGCCAACATCGAGGATCATAGGAGCAAAATGCACAACGGGCATTCATATTAATATGACATAACAGGCGGGAAGCAGCCCTTCTTCCGTTGACTTCATCCGGAGCAGCGAAGTTGATGCATTAGCTTAGAATTGGAATCGCTCGGAAGCTTCCTCTGCATCACGGGTTAAAAAAGCAACAGAGATAACGAGAAGGGTCTCCATGTTTAGTTTGCCCTCTTTCTCTAAGTTGGAGCTTTTGACTTCAACGCCGTCCTTGGTTTTTGCTCTGGAAAAGAGGGCATACTGGTTTGACCGTGGCTGAACAAGTGGGTTCGAAAAATAAATCACAACCTTGTCAAGCGCTTGACCTTGGGATTTACTTGTCATTAAAAGGTTAAGACAATTTCTTATCTGAAATCGTCCTTGCTTCAATGTAAAAACCCTGCATCAATCTGCATCCTATGAAGCAGATTGATCCTGCAACACCCTTCAATCAGGTGTAGCTCCAGCGTCGGCATCGACCGCATTTGTCTTGGGGTCTCACGGAAGTAGGAAGCTGGGCTGGAAGATGGGTTTATTTTCTCATACCACTGTATTAAACCCATGTAAGGGTATTACATTCATTCGAAAATCGCCGTTCAAGCCTATAGCCTAGAACTCTCACCTACTGCATTCTTATACTGTTGATCAAGGGAAAATTTCGGGAGACGAAGATAGAAAGGAAGAGAACCAGCCGCATTAGCACGGACTGTAATTGATGTTACTTAAGAGACACCTAGCGAAGGCCATCGTCACTAATAGAGAGAGGCACACGGAGCGACAGACTCGGACAGACTACTAGTGCGTTCCCCCTGACCTCTTCGGAACTGCGCAGTATTCTCCCGTCCAATGAGGAGCCGTCGATCGCGTTTCTACAAGGGCGGTCATGAAAGTAGGAAAGAAGCTGGGTTCAAGCATGGGTTTCCTTTCCTCATTCTCATAGTCGTCAGTTCACCAGAAGAACCCTGCAACATGCCCTCTGATTCTGGTCGCCACCGTCTCTCCATTCGCTTTTCGTATTCCATCAATTTGGTATTTCTCATCTCTCATCAGGGACAAGAAGAATGACAAGAAACACCGCTCTCCCTTTCTGAACTTGCAAAAGTGTTAGGGAAGATGCTGTGCTTAAAGTCAATGATAGGGCTCATTGAAAGTATTCGTGGTGCAACCACAGAGGGAACCGGGACAACGATAGCAGTAGCAGAATTACATTTACGCAGGCAAAAATGTTTTTGTTCACCTCTCCCCCATTCAAATTTGGTTGTTTGGAACCCATGTAAACGGTAGTGCATTCTTTCGATGTCGTCGTACGAACCCAGAATCTAGTTTCCTCAGGCGCTGCATTCTGATATAGTCGAGATATGATTGATGGATGATGGTTAGCTTGAGAATATGATGTGGCTATAGTAACAAGTAATGAACTAATCAATGTGGCTAAGAGCTTGAAGGCAAAAGGCTTCCAGTACGAAGCAGAAGCGGCATGTGCCAAAAGGAAAACTTCGACGTCAAAGATCAATGTGCCATTTCTCATGGCAAGCGAGTCATTGCCATCCGGTTCGTGTCTACACCCCCTCCCCCTCCCCACTACACACACACACACACACGCTCGTCATTCGACTGCCTTCAACCTTTCAAGCACGGGATTTCTCTGAAAAAAAAGGTTATCTTGAACAGAATATATATTTCGAACTCCCGAAATCGTGATACAAATTCTGAGCCACCATGCAATAACTCTGTAAAGGTACAAAACGTGTACCGTCGTGCTTGAAAGAGTTCACTTTCTATGTTCTGTGTACGCCATTGCTAGTGATTGACCTCCCCAACTGACGTCAGCATTTCCCATCCGACTAATGCGAAAATTCTCGCACTAGTTGGCTTCTCCGATGACTGGATTTCCTGTCCACTCACATGCCTCACACTTCCCCTCAGCACTCCGATAGAGGATGTAGCTTGCCTTGAAAACGCTTTTTCCACTGCATTCTGGGCAACTCCTTCTATTGCATCCCAAGTTGCTCAGTTTGAATATCATCTACCCAAGTGAGAACATCTAAAGTTTGAACGGCTTTGCTCATATCAGTCACAAATTCATAGTGCACTGAAAGAAGAGTTGTATTCCGCTAATTCTTTAAAAGGCGGACCACATATAGGATACTGGCAAATCCGGACAGGAATGCCATGGCCGCAATATGATCTTCCATCTCGCACGAAGATTTACAAATAATATGAAGGAGAATAAATTTATAATAGTTCACTCCCCCTCTTTTTGCACCTTCGGGAAGGTAGGAATATCTAATCGAAAATGTCAAAATTCTGATTCTCCCAATCAATTATTAAAAGAATGCATTTTCCTGTGGGAATGAACAGGGAGGGGCGCCATAAGTGTCGCCCCCTCCTCTCCTCCAACCCTAATCAACCACAATTCACTGTCCACCAAACGCAGGCGCTGTCTGCCTTTTTTTCCATCAAGGTCATAAATACACTGGTGGACAAAATTAAGGTAACAATCACGAAAACCAAAATGACGTTTTTATTTTGTGAGGTATATACAGTAAATGAAAATGTATACAGAGATACAATTTATCATAGCCGATATGTGTATAAAAAAAGGAGAAACTTTTGCCTGGTAATAACAGAGTTATGATAATTATATAATGAAACGAAAAATTACATGTTCCAACAGAAATGCTTAGAAGTAGTCAATAGCCGCTGCCCTTTTTTTTTATAGGCTTCACTAATTTGCATGTTGATTTGCACATAGATCAATTCCGATTGGATATTCGGAATGTGCATGTAAAATTACGTATAGTAATATATTTTCACCTTCTGATTTAATATTGTAATTAAAATATTGACGAAAAACGGTGTTACCTTAATTTTGTCCACCAGTGTACATTCACGGTCGTAACAAAAACTTTCTGCTTCCAGTAGATCCTTTTCAGGAAATTGGGCTTGTCTGAAATAAAAGCATCGATGACTAACCGCCTCATATCTTAAAAACCCCAGATCTCCCTATATTCTTCTTTCACATTATCAGATTGGTCCTGGTATTTCCTTTAGCTCAGCAGTCCATTTTCCACTCAGGAGTTACATGTCGGAATAGGTCTTGTGGTTAGTCTTTCATCACATCCGAACCTTTACCTTCTCGAGGAGTTATGCATGCTCATCGTCCTCCGAGTCAGAGTTTCATGGGACACTCCTTGGAATGGGTTACTTCTTCAGACGAATGCTTTGATAAATTCAAATGTCTTCCCTTAAGATATGTGTGGAGGATAGAAGATCGATTGAAAAAGTATTAGGGACTTCCAGCTGGGTCATGTTCTCGCTTTGGTTAGGCGAACCTTGTTTGTTCTAGACATTGCCAGATAGCTTGTCCACTGCCCTAATCAAGTAGCACAGATGTGCTCTCAACATCCAATTAACGTCCTTCAGAAACGTCATGAAGAATAGGATACTTGTGACCAAACTGCACTTTAACTGAGCATCCAAAAGCTGCTCATCTAAAACTTAATGTCCCAAATCCTTGGAACATGGGTAGCAATTTCTTGAGAAATTTCATGCACAACTTAAACAGGAAATATAATTCAGGGAAAATGTGTGAAGAACCTTTGAACCAATTTTCAAATGAGACTAGCTGAAACATCTTGTTAAGTCATGCTCTCCCACCAGTTGACCTCTTCAAAGCAAACTGCATGGCCTCAAAGCCATGAGAGAAAACAAAAAAAAATATCCATTAATGCCCTATAGGGACAGTTACTTGAAGCACTGGCAATGACAATCATGAAAAATATGCATGTCTAAAATTTTATTTGCAACAAGAAACTTTCGCTACATGAGAAACAGAAAAAGATTTTTGAGAACTCAGATCAATGCAGACCTCCAAGAACAGATAATGCAGATTTCTCTAGTATGCACCAAAAGAAGATAAAAGCCTTGATCCCACAATTGCAGTGGCCCTGGCTCCATGGCTCAGGAGATAAAGCAAATGCCACAATGAACTTGGCTTGAATGTACGTGTAATAAACTGATTGAAATAGAGAGCAAACCTGGGCAATTGCAAAAACCAGCACAGAGGAATGAAGCCCAGGGTACTGGAGGGACAGATCACATGACAGGATTCATTTTCCTTTCAGTACCATAAATCCCAGCTCCTTATAGAAACTCACACAAGCATGCATACCACCACACACTTGTAGTACTACATTGGAACATGATGCAACATGAATGCCTGAATTTACACTGCAATACTGAGGGGTTGTCATTGAACAAGTGTACATGATACCGGTTGCATTCAGAACTAGAATCCACAAGCACCAGAAGTTTTGTTCACACCCAATCCAGAACCACAACAAAAGGGCAAAAGGTAAGAAACTGAGTTTAACACAAATACGACCCCTTTTGACTGAGAGGAAGCTAAGCTTCAAGAATCATGAAAGCTTGCAGCAGCAGAAAGCAAATGTCTTTGTATACTGAGAACAGACAATAGCCACAAACTGAGACACAGGAGAGGTAAGAATGAACCCTGAACACCAAAATCTGCACAAAATGAAACGGAAAAAGAGATTCAAAAAGACTGAGAAAGGCTTTGAAAAAGTGGAGATTTAAGAGCTTTCATGTTCCAGGCGCTTATCAAACTCAAATTCACCCAGACCAGGACCAACACGCTTCAGATTGGTCACAAGATCTCCAATCTCCTTGATGGACTCCACTTGCTCCTTCAAGTAGTGATCTTCAAGGAAGTCAGTCATCTGAGCATCTCCATGCTTTGAAGCCAAACTATGCAAGTCCAATAATGCCTGGGGAAAAAGAAAGGAAAAAATAAACTCAGCACCACCCAGAATTTTTGGCATAACATTGTGCATTCTTTCAATATTACATATTCATTATTTACATCTGAATGCACAATGAATAAGAAAGCCATCCCCATTTCAATGCTGCTCCAAAAGCACTGACCCATCACATCTTCATCCAGGAGAGAAATGGTAAGCTCGAGAATTGAAGAAAGCCTATATGTCTATCCCACCAACTTCTGTAACTACAATTACACTTTAACAAGGTAAAACTAATTTTAATTCTAACCCTCCACTCACCCTCTAAATTTTTAATATTACAAGCTGTAGAGCACAGGCCCAGGAGTGTCTCATCTACAGAATCCAAATGTCTTAGACAAGCACAGATTTAAGATCTATAAAATTATGCTTTTAAGAATGTGATTGCATGAGAATTCAATTTATATGTTCAATAGTTTTCATCTACTGGGTGGCATATATAAAAATGGCCCACATGCATACCTAGCTAGCTGTGCTACATCAGGTGCTGGAAGTGTTCTCCTGCTACTTTGATACACTTTTGGGCATGTTTCAGGATATTTTGAGCACCGCCCTGCAACTACTGCACTGTGACTGAGGCAATCACAAAACTGTGCTGTATGGGCAGTGCTGGGGTCACTTTTATGTGTGCCATACTGTATATTCATCTCAAATGAATTTGGGCTTTTTAACCTCCAATAAGAGGGTTTAACCTTTCTTGAATAAAGTAAAACAATAGATATGTGCCTGAACTCAGTTTCCCCCTTTTGTTACACTTGTCAAAAAGACAATACCTCACCTGATTCACAGTCTTTTCCAGTTCAAGGGCAGCGGTCATGGCATCCAGTCCAGTTCCCCATTCGTCCTTGCTGGGCTTGTCAATTGGGTTGAGAACAACTCGCCCTCCACGCTTGTTCTGATAGTGAATCAGCTTCTCTGCATGTTCCCTTTCTTCATGAGAGGACTCCTTGAAGAACTTGGCAAACCCCTTCAGAGCTACATCATCTCTTTCGAAATAGGCTGCCTAAAAGCCAAAGAAATGGAAAACCAATGTCTAACGTTAATTGATGTACTTCTCTCCACGTTGTTAGATCTATAAATACGTCCATAAGGCTTACGTAACTTATTCCATGCCTAGGTCATGAATATGACAGTTTGAGGCGTAGGACTACAAACCTCCGTTTCCGTCAAAACCCGACTTTTCTTTCTTGGGCGGCTTTATTGACTTTCAATAATCATTGTGCCTTCTGAGCCTAGGCCTACTATAATTGCTGCTGACGGTGAATGCAGCCTGGACTAGTATTGAGGTCTCCTATGCCTACCTTAGTTCATTTAGTACCGGAGTAATCTTAAATGATGGGTTTTCAAAATTCCATATTTTATAAATGAAAAGCTAGACAAAAGCTAAACTCGCAGTTGGAACGACAGGGAGGCAGTCAGGACACTCACCATGGAAAGGTAGACATAGCTGGCATACATTTCCAAATTAATCTGTTTGTTGATGCCAGCTTCTGCTTCATCGTGGTAGTTCTGGCGAATTTGAGAGAAGGACATGGTCGGACGCAGGAATCACTCGACAAGCGCTGAAGCAAGACAAAACTCGGACGTAGGTGTTAGCAGCAGCACGCGACGCACTAGTACGGACAGAAAATGGAAGGGAGGAAAGCGAGACTGAGGCGAAGGAGCAGAACTGGGCATGCGCCTTACCGTCATGTACATTTTTTTCTGTCGTCCTCAGTACCCCCAGGCCCACAATTGTTGGGGCGTCGTCTTGTCATATCCGTGTCTATCTGTGCCTACATGAACCGTAAGTACCTCGCATTAGAGTACTATGATGCTTTAACCATAACGTATAGGATGATGCCATCCCACCAGAACAATCAGGGGAATCAATCGCAACAAAAATCATGTTACCATTGCCATCAGTACATTATGTTCTTATCTTCCAGAAATGACAGGGTATAAATAGAAAATGGACGCCAGCGATACCTCTGCATAGTTTCAGTGCCGACGCAAGTACCCCTGCGTCCCCCGTGGCCGCAGGGGGCCCCGGCAGAATCCACGGGCCCTTGCCCCAAGAGGAATATATAAATAAAAAAAATAAGATAGAAACAAAAGAAAGAAAAACTCTGAAACGTGACGAGTTATTCCGAAAGGGATCGAACCACGCTCCGAATGAGATGGAGAATATTCAGTGGCGGCACGTCAGGGGAGGCAAGGGAGGCCCGGCCTCCTCGAAAATTTTCAGGGGACCCTTCCCCAGTAGCGTAGCCAGGATTTCGCCAATGGGCTATCCCCACTTCTCACCGGCGGGGGGGGGGGGGGGGCAGATGCATTTTAANGGGGGGGGGGCGCAGATGCATTTTAACTAGAGCTGGGGGGGCTTGAACCAAATTTGGGGGGGCTGAAGCCCCCCCCCCCTCGCTACGCCATTGCCCTTCCCCATACAATTGAAATTATCCATTAGGAGAGCTAATAAATGAAAGAAATCTCTAATAATCATTGGATTCATTCTCAATTGACAAAAAACGAGAGAAGTCTGGTCTTTTACAGCTTATTCCTCCCCACAATCGCGTATGAGAAGCCAGAGCCTGGTGGCCTCCTCTGGCTCATAGACAATGCATAGGGGTGTCCCGTAGCACTAGCAACGCAATAGTGTATGAGAGGAGGGAGGAGGCCGGCTTCACCGTTTTCATTGCGCATGAACGGGAGCCTACTTGCAAGAGCTAGCTAGCACGTCTTTAGGCTCCTTTGCCTCAAGTAGAGAGCTTTTCGGTCATCCAAATTCGTATTGCCAATGTATATATACGCAGTGATCATGGATGAAAAGACACAATATACAGGGTGTCCCAACGAATCGTAACGATGTGATTTTTTAATAACTTTTTAAATTCTGCACTGATTCTGATCGCGTTTATAACTTTTGCAGAGCCTTTCGAGAGAATTTAACTGACATCCCGTTGAACTCAAACGGATAAATAAGAATGGAATTACGACGGTTTCCGTGAAGTACCCTTTTCATCGAAAAATATGGCATGTTTCGCAACAAATACCATTTATTGGAATGATAAAATCACGGTAAGGAAGAAAAGCGATTAGTAACGGAACTTTCCCGGATCGGCAAGGCCTCGAATGGCCCTTGAAGGCCAAGGCCAGATTCATCAACGGATTCAGATAAGGCCCATGAAGTGACTCACGAAGAACGAAGTTATAGCGTGCCAAATCGCGTCGTTTCGCGCCACCGAGCGCATGAAAACGCGCGCTTTAAAAAAATTTGCCGACTGATCTTCACCAATCGACTTGGGCATCTGCCATCGCGAAATTCCGCCTGAAATCTCCGTTGCTGGGTCTTTCCAAAACGTATTCCTTGCCTTAAAACTCAGAGAGACGGTACACGCAAATACGACACATTAACACATGCAATCAGGCGGCTGAAAAATGAGAGCAGTGGCGCGAAAAAGTGGTGTCTGTGAGGATTGTCGTAAGTTCATTTATTCTCGACCGTTTTTCGCTCAAATAGGTGTCGTTAAATTCTCTCGAAACGCTCTACAAAAGTTATTAACGCGATCAGAATCGGAGCAGAATGAAAAAATTTATTAAAAAATCAAATCGTTACGATTCGTTTGGACACCCTGTATATTATACATAATTATGACATTCGCTGGGTGTGTTTGATGGGATTTTGTTTAGAAGTTGTGAAACTCGCAAGGGGAGAAAGTCGTCAGACCAATACTTTACACCTCCGGCCGGATGCGTCTCTTCCCTCGCTCAAGTGTTCGATGGAAGTTTCAATTTCCACTCAGCTTTTGCGTGATTTCGATACAATATAAATTGTAGACGTGAAACGGTACCTCGCTCAACGACTGACCTAAGCACACCTTTCGCGCTTCGTTCTCCCATTAATACTTCAATGAAGTATTATTCATTAGATAGATCACGAGCTGGCCTCCCCAGATTTTTCGTCCACCAACCACCACGGGAATATGTCAGGTCCAGGCCCGACCAGAGGTTACTAGAGGCCCGGGTCAAAACTAAATCGGAGGCCCCTTGGAGGCTACCGCATGGATGGTGATGGCTGGGTGGGCCCTTCGGGGACCTTGGCATTGGGTCTCTTTGATACGCGAGGCCTGGGGTTGATTGTCCCCGACGAGCTATTGGCAAGGGCTCTAAGAATACGAACGCTAAACCTCTTAACAACCTACATAAATTCCTCTCTTTTCCTTGCTTAATGTTAATTTACTGATTTTCATATTTCTTCTACAAATGTAATCTCGATAATCGAAAATAACGTGAGGGGTAAATCTCCCGAACCCAGGGAGCCCAATGTATTTTGGGGGCCCCGCATTTTCCTGCGCCGGGCCTGTTAAGTGTGCATCATGAAGCCGACAGGAGTAAAATGAGGGAAGATAGTGAAGGCAAGTCAGGGAACTAGCCTTACGAGCGCTCTTCATCGAAGACAAGAGTATTCGCCCGCTGCTTTACATGGCCACCATTTCCCCCTGAATCGACCGATTTGTGGCTCTGGGATTACCAAACGCCACCTACCTATCTGGGTAACCTTCGCATCCATGCCTGACCTGGAAATGCCATCATGAAGGATGCTGCCCGCACTAGATCACGAGAGGCCGGAAGCGGTAATGTCCACGCTAACACGTAAACAGTTATTTGCGGATGTCGCAGGTACGTGCATTGAATACTTAGCATGACCTCAATGCAAATTATGCAACGGTGGAGTCGCAAAGGGACGCCCTGCTGGCAAGATGTGATAAGTGCTCGATTGATTTCTGTCATTAGTCATACCTGCCTCGAGGCACAACCGTACAGTTCACTCGCTACAGGACTTTGAAGTGGGATATTTACTTTATAATCATTCTGTACATCCTTGGGTCCCAGTAAGTCTATACTTGCGTCCTGACACTGGAGCTGTCTAATTTTTTTTCCAATTTAATGGCTTTTGCGAATTTCTCTGACTGTCGTACTGTTGCACCTACTGTACACTTCCCAAATGATTGCCTGCGCCTCTGATGACCTTTTTGTTGTCAATCTCAACCAAGCGTTGAATAAAATTTTAGGTTCTAATGCACTGGACAGGAGTCGTTAGAAGGAAGAAGCAACACAGCAGCGATTCATGGCTTCAAGGAAGTACAGGATGTCCGGGAATAATATAAATATTCTTGTATAAATAATACCCGAAAATAACCTAAGCGGTGTGGTTCACTCTTGAGAAAAGGAAAATCGCCCAGATCACCAAGTTCGTCTCGATTCAGATGCCCCATCCATCCCATTCGACAAAAAAGAAAAAGACACAGGCAGAAGCGCCAGAGGGGCCAGACAGGCTCGGGAATTGAGCGGGCGAACGCCCTCTCCCTTGCAAGTCATCACCGCTTAGGCCTTTCTGGAAAGCTATATGGACACTGACGCGTGTATGACTAGAAGGAGTGCAACCTTGCCAACCTGAAAGGCCGTATAGACCTACCTTGGCATAGACCGTTTTTGTTCATCGTTTGCAGTCTGGTCACAGCTTGAGGGAGACACCTCAAGGCAAGCCATGGAGAGCGATAGGGAATCCGTAGGAGGATTGATAATTCTTTCTAATAAATAAATATTTTTAAAGATCCAACGACTGTCCCTTAGTTTGCTTCAAAGTCTAGTCTAGTCTAGTTCCTTAGTTTGCTTCAAATGCTACTTGGGATATGGTAATTTGATTCCATAAAATCCCAAAGCCAGCATAACTTTTTTCTGGTTCTGGGAAGTGGGGGGAGGCGAATAAAGTCATGTTCCACTACGGTCTTTTAACGTTTTAGCGATATTACCAGTCTACTGATCGAGTTAACCTAATCGCGGAAATTTCTCAGAGAAATGTCTATAAGTGTGGAAATAAATTTATGCCGGAGATTTGTCCAGAACATCAGGAGCATGTCCAAGAATCAAATCTCGTAAGGCAAGTGAAGCGAACTTCGGCGGTGAACAGGGCGAGGAGGCCCCCCCCCCCCTCCATTTACAATGTTTTCCACCTTAGCTATCTATTTTCAAATATATATAAATTAATTATATTTACATCCGCAAACATCCACAGCCACCATTTGCGCCGGTGAAATGCACGGTCTGAAGTTACTGTCATCTATTATTATCTAAGGACTCCATAACTTGTAGTCACTAGATACGCAGCTCGAACTACTGCTTGGATTCAACAGGAAATGACTCTTCCGATTCCGTTGCAAAGCTTACTGCTACCGAATCCGAAGGTCCCACGCATCTCCGATGCGACCGATTACAACGAACTACGCAGCATTTCTCAGTTGGTTTGCATGGACCTTAACTGCGAACCTCGCAGACTGCCACAGCTATTCGCAGTCAATGTGCATCGGCCTTGAGACTTTGTGTGCAAGCGTTTAGTCCGTAACAAGGAAGAGACAGAGAAGGAGGGAAAGAAGACCCCGTTTCTCATATTTCTTCTTGGGTGTCATGTGCCATACAAGTAAATAGGCCTCATATGGGTTCCGGTTCGCCTGGGTTAAACTCAAAGATGACATTATGGAATCCAATCAGTTAAGACGGTTAAGGTTAGACGGATTTGGTGCCTGCCACCCTATTGTATGCACGACTTTAATTTCTCGAGGGGGAATTGCCAAGAGGTCATTCGTGAAGCGTCCTAAATTCGTTCTTTCATTGATGAAAAACAGCACTTAAACTTCTTTCGTTCACTACCTCGTTTTCTCATTTTCCTATCTCCTCCCC